TGTTGTCCCAACACAAATAAATTAAGTTAAAGTAATTATTTTAGCAAATTTAAGTGGAATAAACTTAAAACAATTAAGTTATCCCAAAAATTCACAGAAAATAGTGTTGTTTCAGCTAATTTTAAATAAGTAGTTTGAATGGGCAGCAAAAATTCCTTTTTAAGTGTTTGATTATTCAAGTTTTGTGTCTGAATACTGTACAACGACTCACACATTTTATTACTTATAATTTCATCTTAATAATATTTATTACTTTTCCTATTACTTTTATTACTTCTTTATAACTATTTTGTTTGCATCTTTTCTGTATTTATATATATATATATATATGACTATAATTTGTTTATCATATTTTATGCAGATGCAAGAACCATCCTAAATCAATCAAAAATTATGAATCATTTTCAAATAGAGAAATTCAACGCATTGTTTATCTCGTGAAAAAAAAATAGCAAAAAACCCAAATATCGCATTTTTTTTCCAATATCGTGCAGCCCTACATCACAGCATACTAGAGGTCTCAGCGATTATCCACAGACTCACTCATTAGCCTGGCTTCGGATGAAATTGCAGCAAAATGAAGCTCATTATTATCAAGCGTAACTAATATACCAAAGCAACTCCCCAAACACACTCGCACAACACGCTCAAATGAAGGCAATAAAACCCCATTCTTTTTTTCCGGGCCCCCGAAACCTTCATTTCACATTAAAGTGACCCTGATCTGAGTCTAAGGTTAGCAGGGGGTGTCTGGAGCCAAAACGCGCCAATTACCAATGATGTAATTACCTATGAGAGCGGGACGTTCGCTGTAGGGCGCACACATACTCGCCTCTCGCCCCCTCCATCGCTTTAAGGGCCTGGCCCGAGCTTGATTTATGGGTGAGCCGAGGATGGGGCGCCTTCTTTTGAAGTCTATGAATGTGCAATATAAAATACACCTGGAAAAAAAAGGGCCCGTGAGCCGAGGGGGGTGGGGTGAGAGGAGAGGAGGGTCAGCAGTGTTTCCTTTCAGGTTGGCTTTTATGGCAGCACTTCAAACAATTGCTCGCTCGCTCTCTTTTTCTCTTCTGTCCCCACCCTGGTCATTGTACAGAGCCAACTGGACTGTAATTGGGTTTTCTTCTCTTTCATGGGTCTGTCTGTGTGTCTGTTTCTGTGTTCAATGGGCTCTGAAGTTACATGTTACAAATGTGTCAGTTCTCCAGGTGCCGGAAAGACTGCTGCTGGTTCAGCTACAGAAGTGTCATATGGAGATGTTTTACACACACATGCAATAAACAAACAAAACAAAACAAAATATAATATAATATAATATAATATAATATAATATAATATAATATAATATAATATAATATAATATAATATAATATAATATAATATGGCGTTGCAGTGGTGGTAGGTAGTGCTGTCGCCTCACAGCAAGTAAGTCGCTGGGTCGAACCTCGGCTCGGCTCAGTTGGCGTTTCTGTGTGGAGTTTGTATGTTCTTCCTGCGATCGCATGGGTTTCCTCCGGGTGCTCCGGTTTCCCCCACAGTCCAAAGACATCCGGTACAGGTGAATTGGGAAGGCTAAATTGTCCGTAGTGTATGATTGTGTGTGTGTGTGTGTGTGTGTGTGTGTGTGTGGATGTTTCCCAGAGATGGGTTGCGGCTGGAAGGGCATCCGCTGCATAAAAATGTGCTGGATAAGTTGGTGATTCATTCCGTTGTGGCGACCCTGGATTATTAAAGGAACTAAGCCGACAAGAAAATTAATAAATGAATATTATATTATATTATATTATATTTTATTACATTATATTATATTATATTATATTATATTATATTATATTATATTATATTATATTATATTATATTATATTATAAATACATTATATTAGATTATATTATAATTATATATCCCAAAAGTACAGTTATATATAACGTTATATTATATTGCATGTGTTGTATTATATTTTTAAAGCTAAATCTAAAAACTGCAACATTTTGGGATAAAAAAATTACTAAACCTTTCAGACATTGAGACCAACTTGAAATTAAAACCACCACTGAATTTTTCTCTAACATAATCAGTAAACTATAACATCACCATTATACATGTGGATAACACTTACAGTAATTAACATTAAGTGTTAACTTCATGGAGACAATGGCATTAGATATGAAACTTCTTAGACCATACTGTTCTTTAAAATATTCCTTCAAAGCTCTAGCCACTGACACACACACACCTACAGAGCCACTGAAGGGACATAAACAGGATCTTGGAGCAGACATTACATCAGTGCTGAAACTTGAAGATGACATAACCTAAATCACACAAGATAACACACACACAACCACTCACGCACACAAACACACACAAAGGAGTTTATTATGCTAATTTGTTCGTCTGATTTGTGAAGATACTTTAACAGAGTCTGGAGAGCAGTGTTTGGTATTCAGCCAGTCTGTGTGCAGATTCCACATGTGCGCACGAGTTTCAGCCAGACAAACTGTTTGACAATTGGGCTGAAGGAATCTGTATACACGTGTGCATAACTTCCAAGTTCCGATAAACACAAAGAGAAAAGCGTACACAAAAACATCACGCTCATGCAGATGCATAAACTCACACGCTGAATGAGCAACAGGTATCTTCGCTGGCGGGAGATCAGCCATTTTGAAGCTCAGTCTTGCCATCACGTGATATGGCACACACACAAAAAATGACCAATATATTCCAACCGTTTCACCTGTGTACTAAAATATGGCTGCTGATGTTTATATATTCATCGCCCAGGGGAAAAAAAAAAGAAAAATATAGTGCAACTTTAAAACTTTAGAATTACTTTTTTTATAACGATTGTTTTAGATATAATAATTGAAGTGAACAGGCCTTTAAAGGCAGAGTTATTTTCGTTATTATAGTTTGATTACATAATATTTTGTGTTGTTAGTTGTCCTTACTGTCTACTTTTGCATTTATCTGTGTGAGCTGAATCAACACAATTGTTGAATTTTTGGGGGGACTACTTAATTGTTTTATGTTCAATTGACTTCAATTTGAAAAAACAGTTAAGTTAATTAATTTGCGTTGGGAAAACATAAAGGAATCCAGCATTTTTTACAGTGTGATTAGACTTTAAATGTATTTGTCTTTAAATTGAATTGAATTTAATTGATTTTACTTTAATTTAATTTAACTTAACAAAATTTACAAATTTATTTTGATGTCCTATTTTATGTTATTTAAAGGAAACCATGTTAAATTAAATTTTAACTTTTAAACTTTGCCATATATATATATATATATATATATATATATATATATATATATATATATATATATATATATATATATACAAGTATCTAAGAATATAATTACATATTAATTAAATTTACCATTAAATATAAACACTAACATAAAATAATAATTCAATCTGAAACACTGTATTCCGTATAAAAAAAATATATATATATATTTTAAATTTAGAAGACTGGTTTCACTTCAAGTTCACTTCTGAAGCAAAAAAAAAAAATCCATTTGCAGTTTTGTTTTTCAGTTCTATTATAAAAGAAAAGAGTCCAATGTAGTAACATAAAAAACACATTATTCTAAATACATAAATAGTGATTAATTCAATTTGTGTGAAGGAATACATATACAGTTGAAATCAGAATTGTAAAAAATTATCAGTGTGTCTGATAATATTTTTATCCTTATTTGTTTTATTTTGGCTAGAATAAAATCAGTTTAAATTGAATTGAATTGAATACAGAACAAACCATCATTATGCAATAACTTGCCTAATTACCCTAACCTGCCTAGCTAACCTAATTAACCAGGTTAAGCCTTTAAATGTCATTGTAAGCTGTATAGAAGTGTCTTGAAAAATATCTAGTAAAATATTATGTACTGTCATCATGGCAAAGATAAAATAAATCAGTCATTAGAAATTAGTTATTAAAACTATTATGTTTACAAATGTCTCTCCGTTAAACAGAAATTGGGGAAAAAATAAACAGGGGGATTAATAATTCAGAGAGTTTAATAACTCTGACTTCAACTGTATGTACACATTGAGAAGTACATCAGATATCTTCTGTTAGTATATCAAATAAACTAACACGCCAAAATGAGCAACAGGTATCTTCGCTGGTAGGACATCAGCCATTTTGAAGCTCAGCTTTGCCATCACATGACATGGCACACACACACACAAAATGACCAAGCTATTCCAGGATGTGCCTTGATTTTTGGCCTCACAAGACGGGCTTATTCAAGACCTTCTCCAGTGTTCAATGCCCTCTAACATGTCATCGGCATATTAAAATCTGATATCCCTGCTTACCAAACTTTGTGCAAACTTGTGACAAAAGTTGGGCACAATTAAAGAGATAGTTCACTCTAAATTTGAATGTAAACATCATTTACAAACCCCAAAGTGGTTCCAAACTTGTTTGTGTTTCTGTTGAATGCAACAGATATATATATATATATATATATATATATATATATATATATATATATATATATATATATATATATATTTAGAAGAAATTTGGAAACTGTTAGACACTGACATCCATAGTAGAGGAAATAAATGACTCCCAGTTTCCATCATTCTTCAAACCACACTCAAAAAATGATGTTTGCTGCTTGTTCAAACTACTTATATAAAATTTGCTGATTTTTTTATGGGAGACAATGTTCAATCCACATTAATTTGTAAAGACCATTAAGTTAAAAATCAGTTCGTGTCGGGACAACATGAAACTATTGTGTGTAACCCAGCAATTTCTCACAGTGTATCTTCAATTCTTTTCAACAGATTTTAATCAGTTTGGAATGACTTGAGGGCGAGTAAATAATGACAGAATGCTCATGTTTAGGTGAACTACCTCTTTAAGCATACCAAAGATGAAAAAGCAAGGGAAGTTATTAAAAAATGAGATGCAGAGAAGACACACGGGTGGGATGAGATCTATTTAAAGCCTGCTTGGCGGGGTCTTACCTCTTTGAAGTTAACCTTGGGCCCTGCTCTTTTCCGCTTGCTGCCCTTTCCACCAGAGCCACTGAAGTGAATCCATTTTGCAACCTGCGGAAGAGGCAGAGGAGGGCGAGAGAGAAAGAGAGAGAGAGAGAGAGAGAGGGAGGGAGAGGGAGAAGGTGAGAGAGACAAAGACCTCATAAAATACCTGCCGCACCACATTTTCACCTCCTCCACAGCAACCAAACAGTTAAACCCAAAGCGCTCAGCACATTCAACAGTTTCCACACTGAAGGACGTCATTCAAAACTAAAAGACTCATAAAATCCTTCACTTTTCATCAAGACTTCCTTTCTCAGCCACTAAGTGATGCTCCAAACACATAAGCAACAGTAAACACACACAATCCACACCAAAAACACATCTTCAAAACTAAACTTTCACCTTCGTCTCTTGAATGAACTCCACATATGAAGTCCTCATATGCGCTAGGCGACTATGAAGGAAACAGGTGTTGTACAAAAAGTCAAACAATCCAAAAGTGCTTTACCTCTCCTTTGACTTCTTGCACCGCTGGAGTCCGCAACCATTCTGAGCATTCGTCTCTCAGCCACTGAACAAGAGGAAGAGAGCAGCAGAATGTTGAGTGGAAAGAGAGAGAGAGACAGAGAGAATCACTTGTTCCTTGATGGCAACTGACCGCTCGACACGGCACCAGGACAAAAATCCCCTCGTTAAGTTGAAACAGAGGAGTTTCTCCAGTAAAGATCTTCACATGCACGCTCGCTCAGCACTTAACCTTATTAAAGCTTGCACCGCCGGCACACTGAATACCTTCCCTCGCAGAGAGAGAGAGAGAGAAGGAGGAGGAGGAATAGAGAGAGAGAGAAAGAGATGAGGTGTGTGTGTGGAGGAGCAGGCGGCAGTAGCGGCAGTAAAAGGTCTGGGAGCGGAGCTTCATTGTAATCAACAGCATTCACTCCCTGTGCAGCCAGAGGAGGGGCCATTTTTCGTCACACACACACACATACATACACATGCATACGCACACACACTTCTGGCTCTCAGGAGGACTGTCTCTTTAAAAGCCGCTGAAGCTGTGTGTGCGTAGAGGTGTGTAAACACAAAGGCAGGTATGGAGGGATCGCACAGGCAGGCTGACAGGGACTCTCACAGGTAATAAGAAACATGTGGGAGTGATAAGAGAAGAGAAAACAGATCCAGAGATGTCCCCTATCCATTACACAAAGTCAAGCGATGGTATCAGGTGTTGCTGTTTTCATACAGCATAACGCATCAAAGAGTTTGAATATTATCACAGTTTTGTTTGTTTTGTTTTGTTCTGCTATTTGAGTGCATTCTGTATTTTATTAAGGAAAAAGAGCACCTTGGTGTTGCTATGTGATTGAGCGGTTGCTAGGTGGTAAAAAAAACAGCTCATAAGGATATAAAGGTGCTCTGTTTATCAGACATGAGGTCAGTTCACACCAAGAACAATCACTGTGAATGATAACACAGCTCCTCAGTCTAAAAGGAAAATGATGTCATGATTAGCATTTTCAATCCCAGCATGTGAACAGATTTGATAAGCTGAAAGATTTAGATTTTCTTTTTTATTACTTTATTATTGTGATTATATTTATATACACTACCGATCAAAAGTTTGGGGTCAGTTTTTTTACAGAAAATGATTCTATTCTTCAAGCCAGCATTTATTAAATGTAAAAAATATATAGTTAAATGTTAAAAAAAGTGTTAAATGTTTGAAGAGTTTAGATGCAAAAAACGCTAAATGCCCTCTAAAATGAGCATTTTTATCAGGCTCCAGTGTGTGTATTCAGTAATATTACTTTTATGGCAAATAATATGTCCTTTTCCAGGTCTTTAAAGTGAAATATCTCAACTTAAACAAAAGAAGGCCGAGAAAAACATTCATTTTTGATGAAAATTTCAGTTGGCTCTTCGAGGTTTTTGCATCTGATCTTTTCATTTATCAAAATTTTAAATAACTGCTTTTTATAATGTTAAATTATTACTTTAGTCATTATTGCTTTTATTACTATTACATTAATAATAATAATATTAATAATGGTAATAATAATAATTAATATTATAATCATTTCTAAAGGATCATGTGACTCTGAAGACTGGAGTAATGCACCTGAAAAATCATCTTTAAATCACTGGAATAAATTATTAAATTAAAGGATAAACTACTATACTAAGTTATTTTATAGTATAATAACATTTCACAATTTTACAATTTGTACAGTATTTTTAATGAAATAATTGCAGCCTTGATGTGCAGGAGAAGCTTAATTTAAATATTCTGCTGACCCCAAACTTTTTAACGGTAGTGTACAGTTGAAGTCAGAATTATTAGTCCCCCTGTTTATTTTTTTCCCCAATTGATGTTTATTGATGATTTTTTCAACACATTTCTAAACATAATAGTTTTAATAACTCATTTCTAATGACTGATTTATTTTATCTTTGTCATGACGACAGTGAATAATATTTGACTAGATTTTTTTTTCAAGACACTTCTTTACAGCTTAAAGTGACATTTAAAGGCTTAACTAGGTTAATTAGGTTAACTAGGCAGGTTAGGGTAATTAGGCAAGTTATTGAATAATGATAGTTTGCTCTGTAGACTATCAAATAAAAATATAGCTTGGGCTAATAAGTTTGACCTTAAAATGGTTTATAACAAATTGAAAACTTTACTCTAGCTAAAATAAAACAAATAAGACTTTCTCCAGAAAAAAAAAAAAAAAAAAAAAAAAATATATATATATATATATATATATATATATATATATATATATATATATATATATATATATATATATATATATATATATATATTATCAGACAAACTGTGAACTTTCTCTGTTAAACATCTTTTGGGAAATATTTAAAAAAGAAAAAAAAATCAAAGGGGGGCTAATAATTTAGTTCAGCTGTATATAAACAAACGCATCAATTGATGCCAATTGATCAATTGATGCAAATTGATGCAAAAATTGATGCCAAGTAATCAAAAATTTTCTTTCATCAGACTAACAGAATAACAGATATCATGTTGGATATCTACTTCTGGAATGAGGGACATATAGGTGATTTCCAATTGTTAAGCACTAGTCTTTTAGCCATGACCATGCCTTGCATTGAAGACTCTTGCATTGTTTAAGGGAGAGAAGATTTATTTTGTGAGAAGCCAAAGAAAATGTACATTTTCTAAACAAACAAACAAAAATGCTCTAAATGACAATATATTTTTTAAATTGAAAAACTCAAAAAGAAAGAAAATAAAATCAGACTAACTTTAACAACTCAAACGAAACATTTTTTTTCCAAACTATTATTTTCAAATAAATCGAAAGATTTGAAACAACTCAATTCTTGAGTTTTTGTGGATAACCTAATAGTTGTATGTTCAATCCACTAAAATTTGTAAAAACCATTAAGTTTACTTAATTGATTTTTGTTAGGACAACATGAAGGAATTATGTGGAATTATGTGGAACACCAGCATTTTTTTACAGTGTGTGACAATAATGTTTCCATCTAAAGATGCAAATTAAATTTATATTATATTAAATTAATAAAGCAGCATTTCCATCCAATGAGTCAAAGAGAACAAAACATTAATTCCTGATTAACTTGTGGCAAATATCAACATTAAAAACAGAATTTGCTGCGGTAGGAGCAGCTGCATTAATCTTTTCTTTAATTAATAAATTACTTGCGCCTCAGAACACAAATTTCGACAAGCAATGAACACATAATGGCGTTTAAAGGCATCAAGACGTGGAGCACAGATGCTCTTGACAGTTCTGGAGGTCATTAATAATATAAAATAATAAAATAATAACAAAGGTTAAGGAATTTTAGAATGACCAAAACAACATTTCAGATGTTTAACAGTGTGTTCACCCTGCTGGCTTGTCCATTCACATACATTTTTATTATCACATGATCTCTTATAACAAAATCACATGACATTTTTCAATGCACAAACTGGAATTTGTTAGTAAAAGTGTTTTCATCGTAGTTTATGCGCATCTTTTCTAATCGAATAAAAATTTATCCTGCTCAGTTATGCACATACGATTTTTTATACACATTTTCAAAATTGATGCGCATCCTGGCATTTCCATCAACTGTTTTTTATACACATTTCCAAAACGCGCATGAAAATAGGTGGATGGAAACATAGCTAATAAACAGCTATTCTATGAATAATTAAAATAAATAAAACAATTAAAGAGCCCATATTATACATGAAATAGGGTCATATCTTGGTTGTAAGGGTCTCCAACAACAGTTATATATGTATGCAAGGTCAAAAAACACTTTCATGGTCTTATAATCTGCATTTATTTTTACCTAATTATCCCAGCGACTCCTGTATGAATCGTCCAGTGATTCTTTTGTTCCCAAACCCCTCCTTAGCGCGAAGCTAATCTGCACTGATTGGACCAATGACAGTCTGTTGCGATTAATCGACTGCCTTCAGTGAGAAAGTGAAATGCCCAACAGCTAATCAGCAATATAAAAGTAATCACAGTTCATGTTTGTGTGTGTGTGTTTGTGTGTGTGTGTGTGTGTGTGTGTGTGTGTGTGTGTGTGTGTGTCTGGGTTTCTATGTCAGAGGGCGGGGCCGCAGGTTTGAAATCTCCCGGGTTTGCGCGTGCACGTGAATAACTTGGTTTCGTTCGTACGTCATGGCGAAACACCTAATGACTCGGTATCAAGGCGACTCGTTTGAAACACTATGAGTCGACTCTTTTATAGATGAATCAACAGTTTTAAACACTGTACACTAACAGATTTAAGCCTTAGCTGGATACTTCACTTCACTTAGAGCTGTGTTACAAACTACATGGAAGGGCATTTTCAAAAACTCATAATAAGGGCTCTTTAAATTCCATTTTTAGGCTATCACGCCAGATGAAAATTCCACTTTAAAAATGCTTGGAAAAAAGTGGCACACCTCTCCCTTAACAAAGTGTGTCTTTTCGTGCATGCACGACTTCATAAGCTGCTTTAAGAGTTGAAGAGATGTATTTTTGTTACCCCAGGGAAGAGAGAAAGAAAGTCTGAAATGTGAGCGTGCCTATATGTATGTGTGTTTTCGTGACTCTTGTGAACTTTCGGGAAAGGAGAGTGGGCAGAGCAGAATTTGACTCTCGGGCTGCAAACTGCCATTGTTAACTTGGATACCACACATAGCAGTTTTACGGCCCAGATTGCCTGCTTCATTCCCGGCACAGCCAGGCCTTTGTGCGCCTGCAAGACACTGCAATCAGCCCCCTCTCTCAGCCAAACTCGTAAAGTACGTGCAAACACACACTCGCAAGCACCCGTCTAGCACACGCTGATTGTATATACGGTAAATGTAGTATTTCGGTATGCACTCCTAAACACGATGTGCTCAGAACTAAATAGGTGTTGAACAGTTAACAGTGGGATGTTGGCGACACAACAATGACAGCTGCTTTTACAATGACAGACATGCTAACTACTCTCAAAGCTCTCTGTCTGAACTTGAGAAGGTCGTATTATACTGTATTATCTGCCATCTGATCCTTTTCACTTTCTTAATACGCATTCCTGAAGTTCGTGCACAATAAAAAATAAACGCTTGTCTTTGTATTCGCTCATCAAAATCTTAATTTCAGACCAGCCACATGCTATAAGGCAGAAAGCTGCTGCCATATGCACTATTAAAGAGTGGCTTTATTGTTTTCTGATGAGTTCATGCACACTTTACACAACTAACAGCAGACTTTTTATGCCAATTAAAGGTCATTATCTTTACCGTCTGTTATTAAGATCCCTAAATTCCTCATTTTCAGTCAAATTCAATAAACAGAGCAATTCAAAAGTTGGCTGTTAATAGAATGTCAACAAATGATAATAAGAAATGGGGTGCAGCTCTTTTTTATGCTTAGATGAACATGGCAGTTGGAGACTTAGGATTTCCTTACCTGATGCCAACTGTAACTCTTTCTGAGTTTGTCATACAGACAAAAAAATAAGTAAATAAATAAATTCACCTGAAAGAGTGAAAGAAAGGAAGGGGGGCAGCACTACACTACCTGACAAAAGTCTTGTCCTTGATCATTTGGATCAAATGGCAGAAGGTAGATTTTTCCTAAGAATCATCTGTTAAACTGCAACCTAATCATCACAAAAACTGTAGAAGACCTATTGGAACCTGCATGAACCCAAGATTCTCACAAAAATCTGTCAGGTTTGGTGAAGGAAAAATCATGGTTTGGGGTTACATTCAGTATGGGGGTGTGCGAGTGATCTGCAGAGTGGATGGCCACATCAACAGCCTGAGATATCAAGACATTTGTGCTGCCCGTTACATTGCAAACCACAGAAGAGGGCCAATTCTTCAGAAAAATAGCGCTCCTTCTCATACTTCAGTCTCCAAGTCAAAGTTCCTGAAAGCAAAAAAGGTCAAGGTGCTCCAGGATTGGCCAGCCCAGTCATTGTTATCAACAATATTGATCATGTCTGGGCTAAGATAGAGGAGACATTGAAGATGAATCCAAAGTATGTTCATGAACTCTGGGATTCCTGCAAGAACGCTTTCTTTGCCATTCCAGATGAGTATATTAATAAGTTATTTGAGTCAATGCAGAGATGTGTGGATGCAGTCGCATACGCTCATGGGAGTCATACACAATGTTAATTCCTTTTCCACTGCACCATGACTTAATATTCTATACTGTACATTATTTCTGACAAGACTTTTGTCTAAAAGTCAGACCTTCCTGTCCTAGTTAAATAATTAAAAATCAAGGCATGATCATATTTTATTTTGCTAAAATAAGCATAATATAGAGGTCTTTCATATACATCCCTATTACCGCCAAATGATCAATTAGAAGTCTATTATTTGTTGTTCCTAAAACTTGAATAGGCAACAAGACTTTTGTCAGGTGGTGTAGAACCTGTACTGTAGTTATATTCATTACACACACATTACAAACGCTAAGAAATTATTGACTAAAATACTCACAAACTCACTCTTCTAACATGTACACTCAACTCCTCAACTGAGTGGTAAAATAAGACAAAATGTATAATAGGCAACTGGTATAGTCTATTAAAGTTATCTATTATAGTTGTGCCAACAGCATTTCGTCATCCACATTATTCCATCATCTATCCAAACCATCAAATTCCTAAACACTACTTTTGAGCATAAAAGGTGATTTTTATTGGTTTCAACAATGTTTTGGAAAAAAAGTCATACAGGTTTAGAACAACACAAGTGTGCTAGCTATCTTGTTCCTACAAAATGTTTAAAATATTGCAAGTATCCTTTGAAATGGTAATATCAAAATATGATAAATTTAACAAAAACTAAAACACAGTAAACAAAGCAAGCTATTTTTAAATGCTTAAATAAAATAAAAACATATGGGCCTTTAAAATGTTGCCTTTGGAGGTAGCGTTCCAAGGTGGGAAGGCATCAAGGTACACCCAAATTTAAATTCTGCTTTACTTTCTGTCTTTGAAGGTACCTTATTCTGACTGATTTTTTTTTTAAGGCAGCATAAATGTGTCCCTTGCTGCCTTTGAAATCCTACAATCCTGTGCAATCCATTTCTGCACTGTAAAAATCCTGGTTGCCTTAAGATTTTAAATTAAATTAACCTTATAAGTTAATTGAACTTATGTTAAACTGACTTAAAGCTGCTTGCATAACTTATAAAATTAAGCTAAAACATGGTTAGCTTAGATAAGTAAGTTACAATGAACTAAAAACATATGCAGGCATGACTAATTGTTCATAAAATGTTTTACAGTGACAGCAGAGCCAAATAAAAGAACTGCTGCGGTGTCATTTTGTAAGCAAATGTCCTTTACATTTTTGATTAATGTTGTCTACTTTTGATGGCATTTTCAGTGAGAAGTTAAAGAATTGTAGTATGCAAATATCCCCTCAGTGATCACCAAAGCCCTCCAAAATTTCTTGCAACCTTAAATATTTTAGTTGAATCAAATTAACTTTTCTGGTTATGGCAACTTACATCAATCGAACTGACAAAAAATATTGTGTTAAAATTTCAACAAAATTTGTGTAACTTAAAAATTTGGTTGAAACATGACTAAGGTATTGAAATAAGTTAAAGCAACATAAAAATATTTGTTCTCTTAACTTTTTGACATGCAGTTTTTTACAGTGTGGAGGAGCTGTTAGACCGATAGTAAAGGTGCTTCACGCTAACGGGAAAGCAAAGATGTTTCATCTAAATAAAAATTTAGTTTTTGACAGTTTAAAAGACATACTGAAGTAAAATTCAGATTTGTCTATGAGAGAGTTATGTTTTGGTACAAGAAATCATGTTTTTGTAAGCAGAAACTAGCTAGTCAATAGAGATAATAAAATGCAAGAGAAAAAGGTACCGGATGCTGAAATATTCAGAACTTTTTAATGTTTTGTGATTGTAAAAGATTAACAATGTTGCAAAAAACTACAAAACATTTAAGAAAAGTCAGGGTACAAGAGTTACTGTATATGGCTTTTATTTTAATAAAGTTAATTAATTACCAAATGTAAAAAATGACTGCCTCTGTAGTTATATAGTGTTAAATAAACTGGCCAGTAAGTGTTGATCAGCTGATTTATGAGTGCTATGTGGATTATGGACTCATCACTGGCCTGCTTCTGGATCAGTCGCAGCTGTTCCAGAAGCAGAAAATCAGAGCACATCTCACCTGTCCTCAGGTCTTTACACTGGCTCCCAGTTACATTCCGAATAGATTTTAAAGTATTATTACTTGTCTATAAATCACTAAATGGCCTAGGACATCAATACATTACAGAAATGCTCACTGAACAAAAACCAGATCACTCAGATCATTGGGATGAAATTAGAAATTCCGAATCCGCCTTTACTGAATGAGCACTGTGCTACGTCCGACAGATCACACTATAATGTCTTTCTTTTCTTTTTCATCCCTTTAAAACCTGTTTTAACAAGTTTTTTTTTAAAAATAAATTCTTTTTATTTTATTGTTTCTTTATTCTTGTTTATGTGAAGCACTTTGCATTCCATTGTGTATGAAATGTGCTATATAAATAAGCTTGCCTTGCCTTGCCTGTATTTCAAGAGATTTGTAGTGATCGACTTGTGCGATGCTGCAATACAGTATATGGATTCCATCTTAATTTTCCTCTGATGTTCCATGGCATTTAGGATGTTGCCTTAGAAGACACCATCCTGTGTAGGTAAGTGTGTATGCTCTAGTTCTCTAAAACCAGCTTAAATCAGCCAATATGAATCCTAATGTCTTGAACCACGGCTATTGTTACACAGCCTCACCCCAGTTAATGACCCAAAAGCTTCTTTGCTTTTCTCAACCAAAGGTAAAGTCAGGATTTGATTTCTCGAGCGCATCCATTCAGCATCAACCCACAGCGAGAAGAGTCACGGGAGGTCATGAGATTCCGATTCTCCCAGCCTTAAACCCACCTCAAAATGCAGATATAGCGACTTATTATGCTCACCCAAATGCTTGCAGTCTTAAAAATAGCACAATGAAAAAGAGAGCTCCGTTCCCATCTCATCCCTCCCTTTTTATATGCGTATGTGGCTGTGATTGTTTATTGTGGGATTCGACTATTTCCTGCCATTATTTATTTAGAGGAACGCTCAAGAAGAACATGTTTTTAAAGTCAAAGCAACGGCTTCAAACGGGGAGAAATAACACAAGGACTATATCCAAGAGTAAAACCGTTCCATTGCTGATTTTGGCAGCCACGTGTCATTAGATCCAATGGCGGCGTCAATGAAAATGGAGTCGTATGTCAGTCTGCTTGGCGTACGAGGCTAAATCAAGCACAAACTGAGACTAACTGCGCTGGAACGGAAAGAAATGAACGTTTGAACGCATTTCTTAGAGGCGTAGACAAGATGGATGAACGGAAAGGCTTCTGTGGTCTTCGTCGGTTGTTATAAAACACAATTCTTAACACAAAGAAAGATCAGAAGAGCAGATTCCACACACACTAGCTAGAAACATGATATCTTCACAAGCGAATCAGCTTTCAGATTCTACATTCTACAACTAACTGGCAGAAAAAGAAAGGAAAAAAGACATTTATGGCTTCGTATTAGTCATCAGTGGTTTATGAGCTTGTGGCAACCCAGTTTAGAAATGCTTGAGAGGTTAAATGGATCTTAAAGCAGGAGGGAAGCTGCTTCATTCACGCCATGTGTCAGTGCTTGAGAGATATATGCATGTGCTCTATGTTCTATTGCTCAAGAGGAAACGGATTAAAAAACGGTTTTACATTCTGGTTGACAGGCATGAGGAGTAGCACCAATACGTCTTTTGCGTGTTGTGTAACAAGCCTGCTTTTATTCCCTTTGCATAATCATAGAGTATTTAATCTGGCTTGAATAAGCAAACATCTGAAAATAGATCTTGTCGTCTTCTTACCTCTGGCATTTCAGGTGTATCTAACCAGTCTGAAAAGATGGTTTCAAGTGCGATGCCCTGGCTGAAAGAGAAAAATGATACGTTCGGTAATTATTGAAGCAGATCAAGGACTTTAGCTTTCCTTTCATGTGCTTTAAAATCATGAAACTCCTTCAAATTATAAGCAACCTTAACAAGACGTCTACATGAAATGTGCATAACTATCTGGGTTGGGCAAAGTTCAGAAATTAGGTTTTGGATCGCTTTCAGTTTATGAGCTGGCATATGAATCGGATTGGTCACAGGATGTTGAATTGGAATGCACGGTAGCTCAGTGGTTAGAACTGTCGCCTCACAGAAAGAAGGTTGCTGGTTTGAGTCCCAAATGGACCAGTTGGTATTTCTGTGTGGAGTTGTGTGGATGTTCTCCCTGTGTTCGGGTGAGTTTCCGCAGGGTGCTCCGGTTTCCCCCCACAGTCCAAAAGCATGCGCTATAGGTAAATTGGGGAAATTAAATTGGCCTAAGTGTGTGAATGCTAGAGTGTATGGGTGTTTCCCAGTACTGGGTTGCGACTGGAAGGGTGTCTGCTGTGTAAAACATGCTGAAATAGTTGGCGAACCCTTGATAAATAAGGAACTAAAGCAGGTCACACACTGGGTGTCCCGCTCGGCGTGCACATAATAGTTGGAAGTATCACACACTAGACGTGCACATTCACATGATATTTAAAATGAAACTATTTAGATGGCGCTCTGTGGCGCGGCTGAAATATAAACAGTGTCCTGAGTAATGACTGGGCGGCACGAACAGCCTCCGACTTGTGGCGCTGGTGTGTGTATCCTGATAGAAACCAATGTTTAAAATTTTATAATGCATGGCGCACCAGGCAGCACTTCTGGTGTGTGACCTGCTTAAGCCGAAGGAAAATGAATGAATGTTTTGTTCCCTTTTTTTCTTAAAAAAAGTACTAAGTATCAGATATATTTTCTGATAACTCTCTTGATAATATAAATTTCTTAATATATTAAACAGTGCCATAAAATGTTCAAAAAGCATTCGAAACAATGTCCAAATGTTACAAATTGACACTGAAATCAAAAAGTATAATTTGCTTTTAATTTACCCACGCTCAAGCCTTTGATTGTGTGTCTTTTTTCCATAAGTAGAGCATTAAAGAATATTTTAGCTGAAATCATAATAATCATTATAATCATTTTTTTTTTTTTGTTAACACCACTGTATTTGATGATACAGTAATAAAATGTAAATTAAAGACAACTGGCACATTGACAATCAAAAACACATGGTTGGTCTATGCATGAAACTGAAAATTATTCACAACATTGCCAGATAACAAGATTTGGATTTCAAACATTCTGGAAAACTTCCCTAGGTGTTCCTTTTAATGATTACTATTATTTGTTTTGTTTTGTTTTGTTTTGTGGTTAATTCTGTGGTGACCCCTGATAAATAAGGGACTAAGTCAATGAAAATGAATGAATGAAAGTTTTTTTTTTTTTTTTTTTTGCTAGTTCGAGTACCGGGTGGGCCAGTAGGCATTTCTCCATGTGTTTGTCTGGAAAGGCAATCACTGCATAAAACACATGCCAGAATAGTTAGTGGTTCATTCTGCTGTGGCGAACCCTGATAAATAAGGGACTAAGCCAAAGGAAAATGAATTAATGAATGTTTTTGTTTTTGTTTTGTTTTTGGTTGCTGTTCGCTGGCATTACTTCCCGACAGTCCGCTTACATGCGCTAAAGGTCCATTGCAGGAACTAAACTGGCTGTAGTGTATAAGTGTGTGTGTGAATGCGAGAGTGTATGTGTTTCCCAGTACCGGGTTATGGTTGAAAGGGCATCCACTGTGAAAACACATGCCGGAATAGTTAGCGGTTCATTTCGCTGTGGTGACCCCTGATAAATAATGGAAAATGTTTTGTTTTGCTCTGTTTTGCGAAAATATAACATTCGTTCTTGACTTGTAGAATGCATTAATAACATCATACTAAGGTTAATTTAACTCTAATTAATCTAGTCCATTTAATTCTTTAAATCAAAACTATAGTATATTTATTGGATATTACATTTTACTTTTTAGCTGAAAATTTATATTAATATTTAACTTTTTAAATAAAAGACTTTGTGTGGTATTTTTCTATTTCCTGGTATTACTTTTGACTTTAAAAAATCTTCCTGCTGTAACAGACTGTTTAATCATGTCCATTCTCTCTGATACAACTGTATGATCTTCATTTCCTCTTTCCTCTCCTGTTTCGTCCTGTTGCTCTTTTGGTTTCGTGTAGTCTCCATTTTCTCGTTAAGGCCTACCCACTGGCTGATGATTGATTAAATTACATTAAACTGAAAGGTAAGGGCGTTCAATATTTGTGTCTGCTGCTCAGAAGTGTAAACATTGATGGCGGCACAACTCTGGAACGGCAGATTGATGTGGTGAAACAATCACAGATGGGCCTCCTCATGTCAGATCAAAGACAAATCAATGCCTCCTACACCACCTCTCAGTTGAGGAAGTCCACGGCAGATCCTGTTAATGTGTGTCTGACTCCAATATCTGCGTTTCTCCTTTTTAAACTTTACATTCAATTTCGCTATTGAAGATCAACCTGCATTTTTGTCTTTGTCGGGCTAAAAAGTGGACAGCCAAATCTTATAGGGTTGAAACGCTGAGCCATATATATGGTATAGGATTAGTCTGAGGCTGATTTGACTTAGGATAGTAAATTACTACATAACAACCACCCCAGACACTCTAGCAACCAAACACAAACATGGTGGCAACCAACCACAACACCTTCATCAAGGTGACTGCAGTGTGGGTGGTGGATTCATGCAAGGGTATTATAGTTCATAAATATTCAACTAAACCATAAACTAAAATCTGTTTTGTTACTTAAAATGAATGATAACTGAAACAAACAAAAACTGTAAAATGTAAAAATTCCAGCTAGTTGCCTAAATTTGTTTTATTACAATTTCATTTAAGTTAAAAGTACAAAAAAAATCATTAATCAAAAATCTATATTACAAAACCTAATAACACACCTAAACCTGGAAAAATCGAAAGAAAACATTCATTAATTTTTTAAGCTTAGTCCCTTTATTCATCAGGGGTCGCTGCAGCGGAATGAACCGCCAACTTATCCAGCACGTTTTATGCAGCGAATGACCTTCCAGCTGCAATCCATTACTGGGAAACGCCCATACACACTCATGCACAAACACACACACACACACAATAGAGGCAATTTAGTTTATTCAATTCACTTATACAGCATGTCTTTGGACTGTGGGGAAACTGGAGCATCTACATGAAACCCACATGAGCATGGGGAGAGCATGCAACCTCCACAAAGAAATGCCAACTGGCCCAGCTGGGACTCGAACCAGCGACCTTCTTGCTGTGAGGCGAAAGTGTTATCCACAGAGCCACTGTGTCGCCCATGTTTCACATTATTCAGATATTTTTTAACAATCCATTTAGGAATATTAAGATGTGTTTGTTTTGTTGTTATTTAACCACTTTATTTTTTTTTTAACCAACATTACTAAGGCAAATATTTTAATAGTCAAAAACAAAAACATTTAAACAAAATATCTGATCTCTTTGTAATACATGAACATTAGTGTTAAATAGACTCTTAAACTTGATAATTAAAATGTTACAAAGTGTGTGCAATGGTAAACTTTAGTAAACTTTAGTTTAGATCAACATCTGGTGTTATAAAATTATAATAATCAAATTTGAGCTTTTAAGTAAAGGAACCAGCCATCATTATTCAAATAAACATTGCAACATTACAGTTGTGAAGTTGAATGACTATATTAACCCCTACGTTTAAAAATATTTCAGATGGGGAGCTAGTGGCTGGGATGCAAGAAAAGAAACCAAAAAGCCACTCTGGCAACATCCTTTTTACTGAAAATGCTTTATTTTATTTAAACTATGGACGTTATTAAACAGAATATTGAAGTGACCACATTAATATGACAGGTCTCTTACAAAAATCACCATGGTAAACAAAGTTTCCTCTAAAATACCAGCTGTTACTACAGTTATTTTTACCCTGTTATTGTTTTAGCAACTATACTGTCATCACAATAACACATGAAACAAGGAGTCATTATGAAAGCTTGATGAACATACACAAAGTATTGAAACATTTGAATATATTATCATTGTTTCATTGTAATTCACATCTATGATATATTTCAAGAAATAATGGTGTGAATGTTAAAATGATACTGAGTAATAGATGGCGCATTAATGGATCATGCTTTCAAAAGCGAACTTATTAATTGGACTAATCATGACCAGAACTGTTTTTACAAGCACTATTAAGTGTACTTCACAGGTTCTTTTGATTAGCATTCATGCTTCATTAAATCATTCGCAGCATGCATTTGAGTGTTTTCTTGTCGAATGAAAAGTGTTGCTTTTATTCTGCAACAACATGTCATAGCACGACAGCCCTTTTATATAGCAATCACAGTCCGGTGAGCTTAGTGATTTGCTCTGACACTGAGGGCTTTTCCATCTCTGATGCTGAGATGGAAATTTCCATTCTTTCCTTTGTCGTCGCCTAAATGTGCTCAACTGCTGTGTCGAAGGGCCACAAGTGTTGGAGATGCACCGTTCCTGTCTGAGACAGTCCATTAGTTGATTATATGTGCTTTGGGTTTGCGTGTGTGTCTGTGTTTGTGTGTGTGTCTGGACATAACAAGATTGATTTGGAGTGAGTGCTGAATGACTTCAGTCACAGCCAGAGGAAAAATACTTTAAAGGAAGAGAAGAAAAGCAAATCTGTGCCTTATTGTGATCATGCTGTGCACCAATCAGAGCTGAATTAAAAAAATGCCATTCAATTTCAGTGGATTATTAGTTTAAACTAAGTTTAAAATAAGACAAAAGTAAATATGCAAGAAAAAAACAACAATACAGGCTCATTGTGAATACGTACCCCTATATACATTTCTGGAGGGCACAAATTATGTAACCAGAGGTATGTATGGCTATAATGCCATCAAAGGCTTTTGTTTCTTTTCACACTAACAGCTGACCGCTTACCTCTATATGGACAGCTTTTCCCTTGTTACCAGTTTGCCCAGTGATTAAACAAAAAATAAAAATAAAAAGATAAATAAACAAGTAAATAACAGGGTGAGAACGCGGTAATATCTGAAAACTTGGTAAAAAAGCAGGCAGCTTTTCTTTCTGGATTGCTTTTGAAAACACTGTTGGTTGGGTTTAGGGAAGGAGGAGGGTAGGGGGAACGGTCGGTCGCTTAATCAGTCAGTCAGTCAATCAGTCAGTTGATAGTGACCTCTGGTGGATTAAGTGTGAACAGCAGGCACAAATGGCACTCAAGAGAGAAATCTGAGATCCGAAAAAGCAAATACAGCAGCCTCTGGTGGATTCGCGGGAACAAAAACAGCAAAAAAAGTACCTCCTAGGACGTATTATGTTTTCTCCAGAAATGTATTGAGGGGTATGTATCCATATTGAGCCTGCGTGGGAAAAAAATCATTCAAAAGACATACTTAGTTCTGCAAATATACGCTTAATGTTAACAAAGACTATAGAATACACAACACATGTCACTAATATAGTTTTGAATGGGGAAAACTGTAACAAAAAAACTGTACAGGAGTCAATCAATGATCACTATATAGTGACGTTTCTCCGGTGGAAAAGCCTGGACCAGACATGTGTTTTTCCTACAGTTTGGTAATCAACAAACACACTTGAATCTCAGTGAATACTAGCTTCACAGACATAAGAAATATATCCAAATAAGCCTTTAAATATGCTCTTTTAAATGAACCAAGTGCACTTAAAAACAAGGTTTTTTTGGTTTTGTAATCTGTATGAAACGAGGTACAGTCCGACCTGTCAAACGCACATAACATGACAGCAATTACTCAAATGCCCACAAACTTCTAAACAGAGTCGCTGTCATTTCTGGAGGAGATTCGCAATTAAGACCAAAGTGTAAATTACTTCAGAAGAGCAGCGCGTTCCGACGAATTATTATTCAGAGGATGATGAAGTGCAGAAAGGCCATAAATGAGGTTGGTGTCGTGATTTTTGTTTCTTTCGAACGTGCATGTGCATTAGCTTGGGCAACCTGAAAAATATGCAGATTTTGTTTGATACGGAGATTTAGAAAGGAAACTTATGAGAGTTGTTGTTTAATTTTATTGGTGATTCCAAATATGTAATGTAATAATACGCTTGGCAAACAGTTTTGGAAGTATATAAAATGCCTGAGCATACTGCCCAAGAGGCGTTTTAAAGATGGTCGCTGAGTGAAATGACTTGCCTTAAAGGAACTTTGATAATAATTAAATTCTAAATAACAATTTTCATTATCATTTTATGAACAGTTTATTACAGCAGACACAACATACTATGTTAATACAATCTTTGTTTTTCTCGTAATACTATACGATTGATGATGTTTTCCAGCATCAAACAATACAAGTACAATACAGCTTTTTTCTCTTTCCCATACATTATGTTTATGTGTACAGTTTACTTTATTGTTCTGATTAAAACTAAACTGGGTTTCCAGCCATCGATCATTAATACAGATTTGTTTTTTGATTAATTTACAATATTAACATTAATAGAACAACTCAGTTTCTCAATTTCCAAAATTTAAGGTTTAACGCACAGATCTAATATTTATTGAATTCTGTATCTAAATTCAAGATGTACATAACTATATCAATAATAACTCAGCAAGCTAGCATAAGACCTGACATTCACTTGGGCCCTGCACTTTTATCATTTACTGGCACATCAGAGCTACGCTACACTTCTAACCGACCACAAAACACAAAATATTATAGAGGGTAAAGAAGATCCTTAATATTTCTTTTATATTATGCGTCTTTGGGCAGTATTAATGACAAAAGTATGTCAACACTTAAATGGTGAGACTAAAAAGAAAATAAATATTTGATAAAACGATGGGTAAGAAATGCAGTGGAAAACCTATTTGAGGTAGATCTTGAGATGAAAGATCCCTGCAGGGTCTGGTTTAGCTAAATACCTCTAAATCTACAGGCAAATTCCCAAGTACTAATAAAGATAATGGCAGAGCTGCTGAAGAGTTCAGCGAGCTATTAAATAGCACGTGTTTTTTCGACACTATTCACTCATACCTGCTCATTGCTGGAAATGCGTCCAGAAGCATCTGCAGAAAATCCTACAGGAAACGGAATACAGTATGAATCTGCATGAACATCAAAGCTGCAAAGAGAGCATGCAATGTTTAAAAATACTGAAATATTAATATCTTGCTGTATTTCTCCACTTGTCTCTTACTAATAAAACACCTGCCAATAGAGCACAACAGTTCTGAAGCTCTCAAAGTTAAATTTCCTTTTTTTTTCATATGGGAACTGATTTTTATTAACTATTAATGCTGTAATGCAATGATATATGGTTCTGTTGGAACCATCAGTTCACATTAATCAAATAATTTTGATAATTATGATTAGTATATTTGATAATTATGAATTCCTGGTGCAAACATCTCCATAAATCCATTGATGACCAGTAAATTATGCCAAATCTAATACTTTAGCTTTAACCTAGACCCATAGAGTACTGCCAATATGGTCAACTTACTGTAAGATGAAAAACTTTATGATTGGTGAATTTTCCAGATTGGTGGATGCCAACCAACCACTATAAAGAAGACGTGTCATGTTTACAAGACGTGTATGTAAAATGCATTAAATGTTTGGCTGTCGATAATAGCAGTTTTTTTGGTGCTGAGTTTTACCAAATTGGTTCTGAATAATAATTCAGTTTCCCAGAGATGGGTTGCGGCTGGAAGGGCATCCGCTGTGTAAAGCATGTGCTGGATAAGTTGGCGGCTCATTCCGCTGTGGCAACCTCGGATTAATAAAGGGACCAAGCCAATAAGAAAATGAATGAATATGTGAATGATAATTCAGATTACTTTCAGTCATTTATTTTATAAAGGTTTTTTATTTGTTGTATATTGTTGCAATTTTTCATACTCAGGCTGTGAAGAAACATGTTAAGAGTTAAATACAAAATTTTATGATGGTAAAGCAACTTTTGGTTTATGCTTTTTTGTTTCTGAATATATTATTCAGCTGGTTTATTTTATTTATTTTTTGCTGTTGGTCTACGTAATTTTTAAACACTAATTTATTGAAGTTCCTCTTGTGTTTTAGTTGTGAGAACGCAAATTAATTTAAAATGTAATTTTAAATGAGCATTAAAATGTTCTTGAATGTTCTAATTCAGTTGAAGTCAGAATGATTAGCCCCAATTACATTTTTTTCTTTTTTTAAATATTTACCAAATTATGTTTAACAGAGCAAGGGAATCTTCACAGTATGTCTGATAATATTTTTATTTTTCTGGAGAAAGTCTTATTTGTTTTATTTCGGTTAAAATAAAAGCAGTTTTTAATTTTTTAAAAACTATTTTATGGTCAAGATTATTAGCCCTTTTAAACTAGATTTTTTTTCTGATAGTCTACAGAACAAACCATCATTACACAATAACTTGCTTAATTACCCTAACCTGCCTAGTTAACCTAATTAACCTAGTTAATCCTTTAAAAGTTACTTTAAGCTGTATAGAAGTGTCTTGAAAAATATCTAGTCAAATATTATTTACTGTCATCATGGCAAAGATAAAGTAAATCAGTTGGAAATGAGCTATTAAAACTATTATGACAAAGGGGGGGGGGGGGGGGGGGGGCTAATAATTCTGACATCAACTGAAACTAGTAACTGTAACTAGTTACTATTTTTCAGTAACTAGCACTTTCCAGCTGTAAATCTCAAATAAAGACAAGTTTCACACCTTGAGGCAAATTATTAACAAAAAAAATATCATCTTCAACAAATTACTTCAACTTGTTACACCTAAATAAATTAAACTTTTTCAACTTAATTAATCACTACAAATAAAGAAAAACGTTTAGGTATAACAATGAATCAAGCTTTTTCAACTTCTAAAAATAATTTTTTAAAATTAATTTAGGTTTAAACAAATGTTCTGTATGTACGTTTTTGAAGCATAAAAATTCCATAATATGTTTGCAGATATTTAAACAAAAACACTAAAACAAAAAATGGTATGAAAACAAATAGTTGAAGTCTTTTTATTAGCCCCCTTTGATTTTTTTTTCTTTTTAAATATTTTCCAAATGATGTTTAACAGAGCAAGGAAATTTTCCCAGTATGTCTGATAATATTTTTTCTTCTTGAGAAAGTCTAATTTGTTTTATGTCAGCGAGAATAAAAGCAGTTTTTATTTTTTATGAACCATCTTAAGGACAAACTTATTAGCCCCTTTAAGCTATAATTCTATTCGATAGTCTACAGAATAAACCATCATTATACAATAACTTGCCTTATTACCGTAACCTGCCTAGTTGAGCTAATTAACCTAGTTAAGCCTTTAAATGTCACTTTAAGCTGTATAGAAGTGTCTTAAAAAATATCTAGTAAAATATTATTTGCTGTCATCATGGCAAAGATAAAATAAATCAGTTATTAGAACTGAATTATTAAATCTATTATGTTTAGAAATGTGTTGAAAAAATCTGCTCTCCGTTAAACAGAAATTGGGGAAGAAAATAAACAAGGGGGTGAATAATTCAGGGGGGCTAATAATTCTGACTTCAACTGTACTTAATGGCAATCTGGCAACCTGAGTTTTTATTGAATGAGGAAGGGCCGGGTGAAAAAAAACCCTCTATGGTTTTGAATGTGGAGTGCAATATGTCACTCCTGCATACTGCACCTTTAACAATTTGAAATAATCTGTAATCTAACGTTTCCACTTTTTACCTACATTCTTAACAGGCTGAAAGAATGAAAATGAAACTGAAACAGTGTCCAAAATATGCACGCCCCATCCAACAGCAACATTTGCATACAGATTGAATGAACAGATCCATTCAATGCAGGGCAAGATCACCTGAGACAGAATTAGCTGCCCGTGGAATTTTCCAACAAACACTTTGAAGAATTGCAGGAACTTCTCCTCGCCGATCTGATCAGCCAGAAACTTCAAGAGGAAGTAGCCCTGGGAGAAAAAGACAGAAAGCCAGATCTACACCAGCCAAATCTCCCAGATGGCCCAGAAGACGCTGCACTTTGAGCTTTCAAACGTACCTTCAAATAGTGCACCTGCATGAAGGGTTTTTCTGGGTTGAGGGCATGCTTCACAACTGACGCACCGGACTCGCTCACTTCCCCTGTGTTCTCTTTATTGGGCCTGTGTGCAAATATACAAACATATGCAAACACACAAACAGCACATCAATCATACTGTGGTCTGATAAGGTAAAGTGCTGCATCTACAGGAATACACTTACATCAGCATACATTAGGAGCTGCTAACAGTTTGCTAAGTGTATAAACAATTGCATTCATGAAAGCATTATGTCCTTGATTGCCTCTCTGTCTAGAGCACCATAGATTACAGTAATGCTGTGTTTTTATGGCTCTTTGTTGAGTAAGTGCACATTTAGATCAGTGTATAATTCAAGTCACGAGACACAGGTCAGGAGCTTTTTTTCAAAGTAAAGATACATAAGTATGCTTCTGTTATTATTGCTGTGTTATTAGCATCTACATAAAGGTTCAAAGAAGTCAATAATGAGTATCTTTAGCAATAAAATTGCAGGTTACATTTTGCCTATTTACTTTGTCACTAAAAACAGTTTCATCAAAAGCCGACATGGAATCAGTATTACATTTATTCAATTTAAGTACCTACTGACATATTATGAGAGTTTGGACAGCTGCACAGCAGAATGAATCAGTGTTTTTGAACAAATCGATTAAATTTCATGACACTGATGCATCTGAATAAACATATTTCATACTGTAATTTTGAAGAAAAGTGTAGTATATTGCTGTATATTAAGCATTTTGGGCATCATCTATCAAGATTAGCGAGTTAATAATGTAGGCAGGTTCAGGTTAAGATATAAAGCTTTTTGGTTTACGTTTAACATTGGCTTGTTCTAATTTGTTGTTACTTCTAAGGGTGTTTTTGCACCTGCCTTATTTATTTCGGTTGAATCTCACTAGAGTTCATTTTCCCTCTTGGTGCAGTTCATTTGGCCGGGTGTGAATGTAGCAATCGCACTCGAGTGCGCACCAAAAGCGGACCATAAAAAGGGTATCGAGACCTCCTTGAAGAGGAGGTCTTAGTACCTCAACTAACCACCAGTTGCAACCAAGGTATGCAGAAGAGCATCTCTGAATGCACAACATGTCGAACCTTGAGGCAGATGGGCTACAGTAGCAGAAGACCAAGCCAGGTGCCACTCATTTCAGCTAAGAACAGGAAACTGAGGCTACAATTTGCACAGACTCACCAAAGTTGGACAATAAAAGATTGGAAAAATGTTGCCTGGTCTGACGAGTCTCGACTTCTGGTGTGACATTGGGATGGTAGGGTCAGAATTTGGTGTCAAAACATAAAAACATGTAACTATCCTGATTTGTATCAGTGGTTTAGGCTGGTGGTGGTGATGTAATGGCATGGGGGATATTTTCTTAGCATACTTTGGGCCTATTAGTACCAATTGAAAATCGTGTCAACGCCACAGCCTAGCTGAGTATATTTGCTGACCATGTCTGTCCCTTTATGACCACAGTGTACCCATCTTCTGATGGCTACTTCCAGCAGGATAATGCACCATGTCATAAAGCGTGAATCATCTCAGACTGCTTTCTTGAACATGACAATGAGTTCACTGTACTCAAATGGTCTCCACAGTCACCAGAACTCAATCCAATAGAGCACCTTTGGGATGTGGTGGAATGGGAGATTCGCATCATGGATGTGCAGCTAACAAATCTGCAACAACTGTGTGATGCTATCATGTCAATATGGATCAAAATCTCTGAGGAATATTTTCAGTACCTTGTTGAATCTATGCCAGAAGGAATTAAGGCAGTTCTGAAGGCAAAAGGGGTCCAACCTGGTGTACCTATTAAAGTGGCCGGGGAGTGTATATTTACATTTACATTTATATTTAGTCATTTAGCAGACGCTTTTATCCAAAGCGACTTACAAATGAGGACAAGGAAGCAATTTACACAACTACAAGAGCAACAATGAATAAGTGCTGTAGGAGAGTTTCAGGTATGTAAAGTGTAAGAAGCAAAACATACTGCAACATGGTTTAAATTAAGGAAATGTAACAGGCAAGACAATTGAATCATAATACTGTAACATGAACTGGCAAATTTAGATACTTTATGAAAATGGATTAGGAATCTTTTTATATATTTTTAAGCTTTGTAAAGGTTATAATATCACAACAGAGACTGATAAAGTGTTTCCTTCCTATGGTCAAAGGTACTGTACTGTAGCTTGCTGAAAACAAAAAAGAGCTTTGAGTGCTGGCCATCTCTGCGTGTGATGACAACCTCGGTTAAAAACTATTGATCTTCTTTGGGAGATTAACTGGTCTTGCCAATAAAAGGCTCTTGTAAAGATTTGGTCGATACTCAGGCGCCGCTAACACAGACAACAGCTATTTTTTTTGTTTTTTTTTTCTTGCAGACAAAGGGCCATGAAACTATACGTGTGCAGTGATTTTCTAGCCATCATAACCTGCTTTTGTTTGTTTCTTTGTGTCACAGATTTGATCGTGATAAACCACAGTGAGCTTGATCACGCTCTAATGCCTTATCTCTGTTAGCATGTGCCCTCGGTGCAGGTCTACGCAGTCAAATTCCACAGAGAAATAAAGCAAGATCTGGGAAGAGGAACAGATGCTTTCCCATATATGGAGATTGAGTTCAGATACAGTTTCTCTCTGATAGTTCCTACCAGCGAAGCTTATTCATGAAAAAAATTGTGACAGAGCTAGATCTTCACATTTCCAGAAGAAAATGACAGTGGTGACTGCCTGTGCAAACTAGTCATTATAGTCCTGAAGCGTTGCTATGTGGTTGCTAAGGTGTTATGGATGCATTTCTCTATAATAATCTGAATTCTACATATAAATTCAGCCTCTTATTCAACAAAGTGTACAGGATTTTCGCATGGCATTGTTCACCTCTGAAAATATATTTTTTTATGTATTTCATGGATGTAAATAATTGAGTGTGAGTTGATGAATGCTGCTGAAAAAAGGAGAGGAATTATTTATATATTAGTGAAAGACATAGCTAAAGTAGTTCCAGTAACCAAATTCTAAGGAATAATTATGCTCATTGATAAGGGGCCATTGAGTAATTATTAAAACAGTTTAGATCAGGGGTTCTAAAGAACTTGATTCAAAGGTACAAACCTGAATCTTTATCAATGTCGAAGGTCTAGAAACATTAGTCATAAGTTCACAAAACTTGTTTTGAAGAGACATGGCCATATACATACAGTATATGCATCTCTGTCCAATAATCTTTGAAAACTAACATTGTTTTGATAATTTTAACTTTTCTGGAAACTAATATCCTCACCCATTCAAACGCTCTCTGTGCTGAATAGTGTCACCCGAAGTCATACACTGACTAAATGCCATGACAACAGCATCACAGGAAAACTAAATATCATCTTCAGTTTGGACAAACGACAAATGTAACACGATTAAGTAAACCATAAAGTTCAATGTGTGTTTACTATAAATGTTAAATCCACACTTTCAATCCTTCACACAATAACTGCTCTTAAATATATAGCAGAGGTGAGTCTGGACTGAATTCTCTCTGGACTTTCCGAACTTTGAGAAGTCTTGCTTTTTGCACATATCTCTTCCATACAAATGCAAACACATGCGATACAAACATGCACTTGATGAAACTTTTGAAAAATACAAGCTATGACATTTCTCACAAGTGGGAAAATGATGACTGTTCATGAAGCAAATAAACTTACAGTTTCATTATTAGTAGTGACTGCTTCTGCTGAACACTGTTGAGTGACTCAAAGATTCCAGAATTCGCACTTCACTCTCATTCTCTAAAAACATCAGTAAAAACTGAATTTGGCTGTTATTAATGACTCATGGTTCTATTACTGGCTTTAAAATGACATTTTCTGTGTTCGTGTGGGTTTCCTCCAGGTGCTCCGGTTTTCCCCACAGCCCAAAGACTGTACAGCTAAATTGAATACGCTAAATTGGCCATAGTGTATGTGAGTGTGTACAAAAGTGTGTGGGTATTTTCCCAGTGTTGGGTTGCGGCTGGAAGGCCATCCGCTACGTAAAACATAAGCTGGATAAGTTGGCAGTCATTCCGCTGTGGCGACCTCTAATTAATAAAGCGACTAAGCCAAAAAGAAAAGGAATGAATGAATGAATGAAAATGACATTTTGGGATGAATAAATAGTTACAGTGGCATTAGTTGAGATGGGTAAGAAACTAGTCCTAAATTCACAGGTGTTTTAAAGAAAGAACAGTAAATTACAGTAAATTAAGTGGGAAAACTGACTTCAGTCCACTGAATTATGTAAGCAAAGAGTTAAGAGGTAAGTCACTGCACAAGTGATTTTTCAAAATACAGCAAGGTCTTGAGCATATCATTATTTTAAAAATGGTTACTAAAAGTGTTAGGTAGTTACTTTAAATAAAGCAATTAGTTATTGATTACTAATTACATCATTAAAATGACATTTAATTACTTTTATAATTTCTGAAAAGTCTGAAAGGTAACTAAATTTCACAATAAGGAAATTAATTACTTGATCAATTTAATTAAAATGTAAAAAATATGTACCAAAACATATTTTTCATACATGCCATATATTGGCATTCAGTTTCTAGAATTCTCAGTTTTTTGTAAGCATCTGCACATGCCTGGCATGTCTATCCTTCCACAGTTAAAAAATCAAGTTATTATGCTAAATATCTGAAAAATAATATATCCAATTACTCTGTTTCTGTGAATTTAAATCATTTAATTTAATGATTACATTTCTCAGTTAATTATTATTTTTTCTTAAGCATATATGCAATTGTTTTAATAAATGTAACCTTCTTTAGTTAAAATAAATAATACATTTCAGCAAAAAAGTTTTATAACAAAATATACAATTACTGTGCTTCTCTGAATTGACATTTCTGCACAGTAAATTTTAAGTAGCTAACTACATAACCTAAAAAGAAAAAATAATACCTTACTTTTTTCTGTGGAAAACTAATTTGCTTACAATAACTAATTTCTTTTGCAACTAACTACACTTAACATGGTTACTACACACTCTTAAAAAAGGTACACAGTGGTACAAATAATATTCCTTAAGAAAAGGTTTT